GTTCATGTTGCTCTATGCACTGATAAAAAAAAGCGTAAGTTAAATACGGTTGCAGATCTTGGGATTGTGCTGAATAGAGTCTGTTATACCCTGTTTTGGCAATAGTTTTTTTTTAATTTTGTTTTGAAGTTTTCCTTTGTTGTTTACATTTACATGCTTTTACATGTTGTTTGATTCAGTTTGCTGGGAGGTGTAATTTGACGTAGGGTTCATGCAAATTTCATGGCGACTAGGAGACACATTTTGAATTCGGTAAGATACACAGAATCTTATTGAGTGTGTCTTGGTGGGGGTTGGTGGTAAGACACTCCGCCTGCGTCTCAGTGCCCCCCAATCTGGTGGGAATTGTTTTTTACCCTCATCATTAACTCAGTCAAATGACCAAACTGGAAATCTCTGAATGGTCAAAGAAAAGTACAGGACCCGCCGTGTGTTATGGTTATAGCCTATGGCACCGACAGGAGCCTGAGTGCATCTGCAGTGTGTGGGCTGATCCACCGTGATTTATCTAAGTGCGTGTGGAATGCGCTACGTGTTCACATATACGTCGTGGGGACTCTTCATCGCGTCTCCGTTAAGTATCAGGCCAGTTCTTTGAAGACATCTTGTCACATTCTGCTTTCAGTACATCAGGTAAAACCCAGATCCTGGTCTGAAGGGGGCACGTTATAATTCAGGTCAGAGAGGAACAAATGGACTGGTTAGCCAGCTGCAGAAGCGTCAGAGTGGAGGGATAGGTTGTTTAATTCTAGAAAAGCTCAGCAGGGTATCTGTCCTCCCAAGCAAGGACAGGGGTGTTTGTTTGATAATGCTCAGACCTGCGGATGGGGTGACGGAGTCATTTGAGGGCTCTACGTGTGCGCTCAGCTCGCTGCGGAGTGGAAGCGCAGCGGCCGCGGTGCTGTCTTGTCATTCTGAGTGTCCGACTTCCCTGTATTTGTAGTCTGCTCTCTGAGCAGCGAACTCGCGTGCCGTGTCCTGCGACAGATTTTGCCTGCAGCCCCAGACTCACAAATGGGATAACGAGTCTTGTTAGCGGTGTGATTTCTTTTAAAGAACCTGACCCTGGTGGGTGTGGGGGGGGGGGGGTCTGAAGTAGTTCAGTGCGGCCCTTCCTGGGGCGTGAACCAGCAACCCTCTGGTATGGGTGAAAAATGCCAACATTTAGGAATTCTAAGTCAAGAGTCAATATAACTTAATTTTGGGAGGGAGGGGTGCAGGGTAATTCCTAAAGAATTGCACTTGCTGGTCTTCATACCATACCTTGAATATCCGAGAAGGTTCCTTTTGGCTGTTGGGAACGTCCCATTGGCCTGCAGTATTCTGTTTGGTTGTATTCATTTGATGCGTCAGCTGTGTTATGAATTTGATCTGCATTGCTGAATGGCATGCGATCCCTGAGCATTATGGGAGTTGGTAGTAACTCGCTTTTGTGACAGACAGGTGCTGTTTGATCCACCCGGGGTTGCAAAGTTTGTTGTTGTTTTTTTTTAATCCTGTCAAGTTAACTTAACAAATATGCTCTACTAGCAAATTAGCTGGTCTTCCTGTGAAAGCGAAAACTCGGACTCTCTGTGTGTCTGCTTACCTGGAGTTTGTGTGTGTGTGTGTGTGTGTGTGTGTGCGTGCATGCGGTCCATTCTATGCCGAGCCAGGCAGGAACAACGAGCCGCTTATGTAGGTCCGGACTCTGCGTACAGGCCTGATCCGGCTCTCTGCATAAACGATTTTTACCGCAGCTTTGGATGAAGGACAGTTCTGCTCTGTGTTTACACACAGACCCCGTGAAAGAGACTCGCAGTCCAGGTCTGTCATGGGCCTGAGGTTTCAGAGCAAGAACCGTCTCTTTCGGGCCGGGGGCAGATTCCGCCGAAGCGGCGGGTTCTGTAAATGAAGCTCTGTGTGGGTGTCTGGTGTCTGTGTATGTGAGCCCTTCTTCTTATGCTATTATGATTTTTGAATGTGACAATCGCCGCCCCCACGTCTTCACAATGAGTTCAATGGCGAGTTAGAGGTTAGCCTAGTTTTGGATGACCGGCTGACTAAGCTTGACACCGCCCTGACTGGGAGCGCAGTGGCGCCAAACCCGGCCAGCCCAGATGTCCCAGCTCACCCCAACACCCGAGCTCCATCCCAGGACGATGCTGTTGAGGATCCTATCCAGGCTCCTGTAGGAACAAACACAATAATAATGCATTAAGTGAGTAATATATAAACGTACGCATTGAGCATCGGTACCGCCAGTTCTTCCTTCTCTTAATTAGGTTTTAAAGCTTTTTCTCAATGTAGTTAGGGGAGAGTTTTCCGAGTTCTCAGAAAATGCCAGTGACAAGTTACCAAACTGCAATGTCACTCTTGCTTTGAATTATTGCCCCAGTCCAGGTGTGAATGCCAGGGTGTGTGTTTGTGGTTTCCCTGAGTACTTTATTTTGGCCGCATGTCAGGTTATGAGCACGAAGAGGATTGGCAGGAGTGGGAAATTGCTGTGTAAGACCCCGCATTGCATCTTGGGAGATTTTCTTGCAAGTCGTCACACGTGAGTTCAGCCTTGTGCTGCCGTGGATGGAATCTAGATACGGTTTTGCCGCTTCCGAGTGCGAATTGTGAGGTTTTTAGTAATGGTGTGGATGTAATGGTTTCTTAATGGTACAAGCTGGGGGAGGCATTGTGAGGATCTGCGACCCCCGACCCCCAGTACCCATACCTTGCTCGCTGTCAAGTTATTTTGGGAAGCGGGCTGGTCTGACGCGGAGAAGGGGGTCAGGAAGTGTGCGCTCCTTGATTGGAGGACGGGAAGAATATGTCATGGGCCAAAGGGGTCAAGTTCCGGGTCGTGCTTTCGACGGTGGCATCAGAGGTCCTCTCCTCGTCACGTGGAAATCGGTCTCCTTGCCGCTTAAGTTTGCCCGGTGCCGTGCAGAGCCCGTAGACGCGATTTCGGGCCACGGTGCATGATCTTAGTGTGTGTGCGTGTTTGCGCCCGTGTCTGGAGCGGCAAGCGGTGAGTCATGCCTGAGATGACGAAGGCCACCCCCAGTCAGGGGACCCGCTTCTCAGCAGCTGTCCTTGTCTTTTCCCGGCCTCTGTCTGCCTCTTCCCTGCCATCCTCACTTCCGTAGGCCTAATCTGATCATGCTAGAAGAGGCATCTCGCCTCGTCTCGGCGCCGCCATGGAGGTCTTGACGTTGTTTCCTCACCTGTGCTCACTTTTCAGCCTAAGATGAGTCATGGGGTCCCTTATCTCAAGGCAGGAGTTCCACAGAAATGCTGGCCGATATCTGGCGTTTTTTTCCCCAAGTACTTGTTTCCCAGTTAATACCGCAAGAATCATTTAGTGTAAATTCCATCACCGCAATGACAAGGAGCCTGTTGTCTTTGCTTACGAGAACGCCATCTGCGCTGGGCTGGTGGGGGGGGGTGTACGTCAGCCCCCCCAGGCTTGGGCTGCTTTCTCCTCCAGCATTCGGGTCTTGAACGCTGCGGTACGGCCGCTGCATGTTAGTGTTGGTCACGGCTGCTCTCAGTGGGACCCCCCCAGCAGCACGTCCACCCCACCCCAACCCCCATGGTCACGAGGCTGGAATTTCAGCTATTTTAACACATCCAGCCCCTGGGAGTTTGGCCTGGACCATGAATGCTGCAAGACAGATGCTTCATTGGGACGCGTGCATGGGAGTAGACCCCAGGGGGGATGGGGGGCATGTACCCCCCAGTATTTAATTTGGTTTTGCCCACCCCCCAGAAAACGTACATTTGCATTTGAATTATTAAGTTGTGTCCTCCCTAATATCACTCTCTCTCCTACACCCTTGGCTGTATGTAATAGCATGTCGCATGTAATAGCATGTCGCATGTAATAGCATGTCGCACAGTAGCAGCTATCACGGTATGCCTCACCCTGGGAAGTGAGACAGGTGGGGGGGGGGGTTTCATGTGAGATCCATGGGCTGGACCCAGATTTTTGAATGTGTGGTGTGACTCGCATGGTCGCAGCAGGGGGGACAGAATTCCAAGAATGCTGATCCCGGCGATGATCTAAGGATTGGCCATGTTGCATCATCGCTTTCATTCATGGCCGGAATGGAATGCTGCTGCTTGCAGCAAGTGGCCCCGCCCATGTTGGTTGGACGATTCGTCAGCCTCAGGAAGAGGCTAAGGGAAGTGCACTCGCTGGAGGGTTGTGGGTTTGAATGCTGCCCTGCAGAGGTTGCGTGTGTGTGTGGCCCCGCCCTATCCAGGTGTGCCATGTGCCTCTTGGTAAGTGGCTCAGGACAGCTTGTTTGGGGGCCAGGGCGTGTCTCTGTGCTGATGTGGTCACATTCTGCTTTGATTTCCTTCCTGCGTTCGGGTCCCTGCTAGAGTCGCCCGCTTCCTGCTCCGGGTGCCACCTCTGGCCCACCTCCCCACCCCCCATCTGGCACTTTGGCCACTATTTGCCATGGGGACGGTGTTCAGGCATTTCCAGGCTCGTGGCCTGGCAGCGGTGTGGCCCCTTCACTCCGGCCCCATCCTGAGTCACCCTGTCACCTTTACTGTCTTAGGGACCAGCCTGGCTTTCTTCCTGAATGCTTGTGATTTGTTGCACCCCTTGAATAACAGGAAGCCCCCCCCATCACAAACGAAAACTAAAGTTGATGTTTTGGGAACACGAACGTGCAGCACCAGGACCCCCCCCCCCCCCCCCCACCCCCCCCCCCCCCCCCCCCCCCCCCAAACACCCTGATCCCATCAGCCCTGGCCAGTGGGTCAGCATTGAAAAGTCAGAGGTCACCATGGTTGCGGCTGCATATCTGTGTTCCTGTGTTTGCGTCACTGCCCCCCCCCCCCCAATGTTCAGGGTACCTTGTCCCATGTGACATTTCATGTCAGCATTCCGCTCATATATGATCTATACTGTTCGACCGCTTGCTCCCCGTCATGGCCGTGTTGTGACGGTTCTGCTAATTGCCCCCCCGTCCCCCAGCCTCAGCCTGACCGTTGAAATGCCCCCGTCTCTGCAGGACGGCTCCCTGGGGAACATCGACGACCTGGCACAGGAATACTCCGAGTACTACAACACCCACCTCAGCGACGTCTCTGAGAGGATGGAGGAGCTGCGGAAGCGGAGCGTGTCCCAGGACGCAGAGCCGGTGAGCCGCCGTCGACGGCCTTTTTAAAGAATCCCCCCCCCCCCCCCCTCCAGTGATTGGAGGTGGCCATGCATGTAGTACATGTTGTTTAGATTCCCGGACAGGAACCGCCCCCTGATTCTCCCTCAGAGGGACATTGTCATTCCTGGGGTGCTTTCGACGACATGTGGGGAGCCAGCAAGTGGTTGCCAAGTAACCAGTGACCGGGGGGGGGGGGGCTTCGGAAGGTCTGCACAGAGAGTAGCTGTTCTTCCCAGTCTTGTGGTACGCCCATGTGTCGGTATCCAATGCGCCGGGACCCCTGCCGCCCCACCCCCCTCTCACGCAGACTCCCGCGGCTGGTGTACGCCTGCGAGGTCGCAGCTGCCAGCTCACGTCTGACGCTCGCAGCGGATGGCTGTTGCCTGGCAACGGGCGGAAAGCACTGAACTCCGCCTTTTTATTTTTTCTAATATTTTGAATGCGTAAACTTCTCTGGAAGGAGTCCTTTTGTTTATGGGAAGGGCCACAGACCGGCAGCCAACTGGGGCCTCAAAACGCCATTGAGTCGAACCCTAGTCCGATGATGTTCTTCCTCTGGCCAGTCCTGCAGAGGCCCGGGTTTGAGTCTTTGCATCGAGCTCACTGGCTTTGGGATGGACGCGCTGGCGGTTGTGTGTTCTGGGGGGGGGGCATGGGGGCAGGATGCCACCCGTGTGGAGGACGGTGTTTACACAGCCTTGGGTCAGATGATGTCTTGGCTCGGCTGTTTTTTGGACCTGGGACTGAAGATGGTAACGGCAGCTACTGGGTGGTTCATTTTGGACCTTCTCCACTCGGAGCTGGGAGCCCATGAGCTCCGGGTCACGGCACATCTGACACGCTTGGGCGTCGTGACCCAAAAAGTATCCATTGCAGTGCCTCTGCTGAACGGCCCGCCACAGGGATGCTCTTGGGTTTGCAGTAATCACCCAGCAGGTATCTGAAACCTGTGTTTAGCACATGTTTAGCATGTCTTGCTATGTATTAAGCGTGTTAATGAGCCCATTAAGCTGCGTTTCACACACAGACGTGTTTTGTCAGCAAACTCGGTGTGAGGAAAGGAGAGGTACCCCCCCTCGGACCTCCCCACCAACACCCCCCATCACAGCCAGCTGGAACAATGGCTACAAATTTCAAAGGGGCTTTGACCATAATTACGTCAACTGGCATTTACAATTACCGTCTGGGATTTAACCTTTAGGGGGGTGTTTGGGGGGTGGCAGCCTTTGTTTGGGAGCCGTATAGGGCAGCAGGACAGACCCCCGCTGTGACACTGGTTGTGGTTAACCCCCCTCCCCACTCTACATTACCCACGTCATGACACTTCCCGGCGACCCAGGGGCATGTGATCTAGGGTCAGGGGTCATCCTTCTAATCCCCACATGCTGCTCTTTGATGGTGCAGTCCCACAGGGAGCTCTGTGCATCCGCCATACCTACTCCAGCACCATGCATGTGTCTCTGAAGGTGCTTTTCCACCACACCAGCTACTTTACTTTTGGTACTTCAAGAAAGTAAGAAAAGTTCGGTACTTCAAGGTGTTCGTTTTCAACTGCCATAAAAACTGGTACCGGTCACAAGGAGAGGCAGGGCATTTCGTACTGAATTCAAAAAATGGTTGTAGTACATTAAAGGGCTGGGTGATGTGCGATATAATATTCACGTGCAATTTTTAGGACCGCGATCATCAGCTGGCATAAGATCAGGCTGTTTCGTACCTTCATACTGTCAGGACATTATAGCATGGGGGGGGTTTAAGTTTCACCGAAACATTTTTACTTTGTTTTAGGAAACAAAACTTAGCAAGCGTTGCAATTTTAATGATTGTCCCTTTTCAGGATTATGTACTACGTGTTTTATAAATCAGTTTGAAGTTTACCTCCGCTGCTTTTGCATGAGCGCTGCATGCGTTCTCCGAGACGATCATAATCATTTTCATCCTTGCTGGGTTTGTGAGAAATTTATGTTGAACTCCTTTTTACAACAAAATCACGTTGCGTTATTTGATTTTTCCCCCCCCCCAATATTGTGCAGCCCTAATATATTATAGCCAATAAAAGTGTGGTACCTGGTGCAGTGGAAAAGTGTCCTGAGAAGACAGAAGACTTCAGCCGTTTGTGAGAAATAGCGAAACCTCAAGGTCTCCGTTTCTCTTCTCCAAATTGGCGGGGGTGGAGGGGGGGTTCCCAGTTTTATGGTTATGGAGATCCCAGACTGTGGAAACGCTGGTGAGTTGTGGCCAAGCAACACCAAACACGAGAAAGTGATTGGGGCTGCCAAATAGCCAGGCTGTCACCACCTCTCCAAGGCCCCCCTGTTCCTTTTATGGGGGCGAGAGGCCGCCTTTGAAGAGTCTTGGTTGATGTGGTTCCCTTAGGCTTTGGCCTTCGCAGAATTCCCTTATAGGGCAACTATGCGTGGGTTTGAAGGCTGCCGTCTGGGGAAAGGCTGAGTGATACTTGGTACCGTGTGACGGTGTAAACGGGCCTGGCGGGAACTCACCATGCAGCCTCGGATTGAACCAGAGGCAGCCGGTGAGGAACACGCCGAACGGCGTGCCGGGAGGCAAAGCCATCACTAAGGAGATCATTTCTGTTTGGGCTCTCTCACTGAATAACAACATGGCGTGATGCAGTCTCCAGCAGAACCGGCTCTGGGACACAAAGGCGCACAGGCAGCATTCTGAAGCTTCTTCAAAAGAAGACACCCTCAAATTTGCATCTGGAAGGAGATGCGTGACGTGATTTCTGGCTGTTTTCAGTCTGGAGCTCTGGAATCTGTAACCTGAAGCTGTAATGGAGGGTCACTCTTAGGCGAACCATCACCGCGGTGACCAGGCGGAGTACGAGGCGCTACCCTTCTCATTTACAGTACTGTTTATTATGGGATGCACCCCGTTCTGTTTGATAAACGCAGAAGGTGTTTTGTCTGCACTTTTAGCCTTGGTCATTCACTGAAGTCTGAAGCAAGTTTTTCTGATTTCAGCATGAAACGTTTTGCTTTTCTTATGTTCTTTTTATTTAATTTTTTTTTCCGAGGGATTGAGACGGAGGTCTCCAGATGCCAGATGAGCGGCTTGATCTCTTAGATATGGCCCAGCCGCACACTGAAACGCCTCCCTAAGCGAGGGCTTGCATGTTAACCAGATCATGGCACCATAACAGAGGCGAGTCCCTCTTGGCGAGCCGGTCAGCCCCGGGCTCGAGGCATGGTGTCCAAGCTGTGCCTGTTTTGCAGACTTCCCAGGTTTAAAACATTTAACAAAAGTTTATGGGTTTCTGAAGTCTCTGTGGCACAGGAAATGGTTGTGTGTGTGTGTATGATATATGTGTGCATGTGTGTCTGAGAGAGAGGGACCGCCGTGAAGAGGGGGACTGGGCATAAAGGCTCGTTCTGATGACAGCAGGTCCGTCTGCACCCCCCGGTCTCCGTGGCGATGTTTGATGACACGTGTCAGTTGCCACACAGCAGCTCTGCTCGCTTTGGACACCTCCGCCCTGGGGACGCGATCGAGGGTCACGTGTCGCGGCTGTGTCTCTCCTCTTCCTTTCTTTGATTTACTTCTAAAGTAAATGTTTTGTGCTTCCACACTCGGTCTCTCTGTCGCCGGTTCTGTTTGGTGCAGTTTGTGGATTAAACGCAGTAGGTTTATTTTTTTTATTTACTCTTCGCTTAAATAGATACTGAAACGGCTAAAACTCACCCTCCATCCACCCCCTCCCAAATAAACCGCTTTGTGTTTTTGTTCTTGGCAGAAATAGGGGAAAAGCAGCTGTTTCCCTTTTCTGAAATCCTCCCGGCTTGTCGGTTCAGCAGATTCTCCGATCGCTGCTCAGCGGTACGTTCTGGACCTGGTCCTTCCGAACGGGCCGTCCTCAGGGCCTGCAGGAGGGCACCACCTTCCTCTTTTTTTTTCTTTTTTTTTTTGGGGGGGGGTGATGCATAAGCAACAAATTCCCCATTTTTTTTCTCCTAAGCACAGCAGTTATGATTTCTGAGTTTTCAGTGTTTCTTTTCTTTTCTTTCTAAATGTGTTGTTCTGCTTTAATTAACATCTCTTCCGTGTTAGCAGGCGTTGAAGGGTGTCGTGCCGTTGCCTGGGGCCAGCTGCCCCCCCCCGGCCCACAGCCTTGCCTGCGCCAGCGGCTCCGGTTGCGTCTTGAAGGCACATCCTGTTTGACATCTGCCCCAGGCTTTGCTTAAATATTCCCTTCAGGCTGTGATCTTCTTTCCACCGCCGAACGGCAAAGGCCAGTGGCTGGAATCTGGACATATGAGGGAATCCGTTGGGGGGGGGGGGGTCAAAGGTCATAGCAGAGGGAGCAGCATTTGAGCTTCTTGAGGGTTTGACTCTCCCTTTTTTTTGTCCCTCTGCGGACGATGAAGCCATTCTGTCCTGCACGCCCTTCTAATGACACATTCCTCTGTGCCTTCAGCTTGGCACCGTATCCGGGCTGTTGCCACTGTGAAGCTGTTGGTTGATCCAGGTTCTTACTCGATTTCTGACTCGGAGGAACCCACATGTGCTTCTCTCTTTAAGGTGTGTGCTTGTCAGTCGCACATGACAACGGCCTCTGCGAGACGTGAAGTCATTTCCTCGGGGCAGATGGGAAGGGGTCACGTGGCTGATTTATGTTCCTCCTGGGGGGATTCACCCCCCGCATAAGACCGAGAGTCAGAAAGGGAAGTGTGTTTGCATGTCGTACGGCTCTGGGAAACATCTCTGCATTTCCCAACACTGGTCACTTGCCGGACTTGGGAGTCGTTTATGATACAGACATTTTATACGGTCGGTTTCGGTATTCGGTAACCCGAAGACCTCGTTTACCTTCCCTGCGTTTAATATACAGTGTCGGTTTCATCAGGCAGAGATCTGCGGCCAGCTGACATACTTCCAGCTTGTATTGTGTGATTCATGCAGATTCAGGGAGCTGCTGCGTGTCAGATGTCGGGGGTGTCTTTGAGGAGCCGGGATGTTTAGTCATGCTAGACATTTTATTAATTGGTCAGTCGACACGCGAATTCACATTCATAGATGCGTCCCTCTCGGAGCATGTGGATTGGAGAGGATTTTTTTTGCTTTGAGAAAACACTTGGGTGGGGGGAAAAGCGCATGAATGTGGGTGGCTGCTTCAGAGTCTGATGTTTTCAGTCCTGGAGGAATTCTGATCTTACAAGACCTGCCGCTCTCCTTGCTGGCTCGCCTGGAATTTGGTTGGCTGTGGAGCTGATGGGGTGGGTCGGCCTGTCGGGTTTGACAAAGGTTTAAAGGGATCACCTGCCAAGGGCGGTAGACAACGGGCTTTTGCTTGTTGATAATCCTTGAACACACTTCAAAGCCTTGTGAGATTCCACCTTCTCCAGCCCGGTGGGACATCTTCACTAGTTTTTGATTTGCATTTGAGGATCGCTTGTTTCCATGCCCTCAGCAGAAGCCCGAACCTGCTGCTCCGTGAACCAGCCAGTCAGGTTGGCATTACCCTCAGGTGGAGGTGTGCTCCAGGCCTGCCGGGAGGAGTCCTCTACGCCTCTCATTCTTGCTGGCTGAGCCAGCCTTAACGTGTTAATCCAGTCCCGCTTGGATCACTGCAGAAGCTTGTGGTGTTCCGAACCCGTGCAAGAAGTAGCGTGGGTGTAGCATGGGTGTGGCGTGGGTGTAGTGCAAGTGTGGCGCCAGTGTAACGGTGGTGATTTCCTGGTCACTGATGGCTTTATCTGGCTCTCTTTTCCAGGAGAAGGCAGAAGCCAGTCCCCCCTCACAGCTCCAGCTGCGCACGGAGATCCAGGTAAGTGGCTCGGGGGCAGAGGGGAAGGAGGTGGGGTGATGTGCACGATGTCGACGGCCGACTAACCGCGGCGCCCCCTACCTTTTGTCCGCAGGAGTCACTGGGCTTCAGCAGCGCCGTGTCCACACCCGAGAGCGAGAGGAAGTAAGGATGCTCTTCTTCACAAGTCGTTCCACACGCTAGCCATGCTGAGTCAGCTTAAAAGTGCCGAGTCAGAGCCAGGCTATATCTCCGATGAGTCCGCATGCAGGGGCACTGTGTGAACTTCAGGGGTCACCGCTGTTGACTGTGACTTAATCGCTGAGTAACAACCCCCCCCCCCCCCCCCCAGTTTCGTGGAGGATGTGGTGCTCGTATCTGGGATGGTCCTCAG